CCAACAAAATGCCATGAGACCTAAGTGAAACCAAGAGGAATTCACTAGATCAATGTTGAAACTTGCTCCAAGTTGAAATGGAGGTCTGAAAAACAACTTCGGACAGAAGCTTATGTTATTTGAAATTATATAATTCTATATCGACCATCAAGACAGAATGTGACATGATTCAAGATTTACAAATTAATTTTCCCTTGCAAAGTTCATATTCATATCGAAAATTGACAACGTTAGAAAAGTATAAGCACAAACCTCTTTTTGCCCGAGGCAATGGACTAACACTTGGATCTTTCCACCGAGAACGCTCTATAACAGATGACGACTGCAAAATGTTCATCCTCTGGTAGTTTGCGTCAGGTGTAGAATACACTTCGGACTGCTTATCTGGAGACCTATCATTTGGTTCATCGATAGTCACTTCCATTGAACTTTCCTCATCTTCTGCCCCATTTGGCGATCCATTATTCGGACCCTCTTGTGGAGGATGATATTTATGAATTGATTCCTCATGTCTATGAGTTTTTTCGAAACTCGCCCTATCTTCTGAATTTTTCGACATTTTCTCCCTCCCATTACTCTCCATATCGTATGATAAGCTAGTGTAATATAAATTCCTATATCCACTTCTCCAACCCCTCCAATAACAATTCTTTTAGCATCCAAAAAATTAAAGTACAGGCAGCCAAAATACTCAAATTCACCAGAACCACTCAGAGAACTCACCGTAATTTAAATAAAGATCAAAATTCAGCGGAAAAAAAAAAAAAAGCACAGCAATAAACAATAAGGCGAATTCAGAATTTCTGACCAAGATTGATACAAAAATCTTGAGTCCCGCAAAAATTAGGCTGCAAACGCGAAGAGCACAAGAAAATCAAGCTAGTCGCATGTGGAAAAAGCCATTAAAAACTCAAAAAAGTTTCGAACTTTACACTTAACAAAAAACCAACCACTACCAAAAACGCCAAAACATCCACCAATCAATTCCACGCGCAGACTGTTTGGAATAGAGTTTTTAAACCCAGAAGGTTTTACTCTTGATGAGAGATTAGGTCATATTATTTGTTGCGTGTTGTCAGATTTGGCCAACTTATTTGGGTCAACGGTCCACTCAGGGCGAACCACGTGGCCCTCCAGTTGAGATGACGTAAAACGTCGAGGTGGACTATGGCCGAAGTCCTTCAACCCGAAGTCCACTAGTCGAGGCTCCCTTTTACCGAGGCTTGTGAATGTACCCGAGGTCTACGTGCCGAGGCCTATGACTCGAAGCCATGATGTTGAAACTGGTTGAAGATAGCTAAAGCCCTCAAGTGGAAGTATTGTATGAAATGGCCGAAACCCAGAAGCCGATGCAGGAACCTTCGAATCACAAGGGAGCATCCTCCATAGTCACTTCTCCCAAGATATCGCCTACACAAAGATCTTATTCGAATGATTGATGGAATGTTTGTCATAAGCATAAAGGTCAAGTCTTGTCACTAGTATGGAGGCTCTGCACAAACAATAAATGCGCAGCAAGCTAGCAAGTCAAGCCTCATACCTAGGATAAGATGTTTGAATCAAAGAGATGAGGCCACGTGCCACCTCATCCAAGGGCTCCCATTTCACACGTATCACTATAAATACTTCCCTTGTGTAACATCAAAAGGCTAATGCAAGAATCAATACAAAGAACTACACTTCACTCAACTCTCTCATTTACTTGCAATATACAAATCAAGTTTATACACATTTACATATACATCGACGAACACCGGTTGGTAATTATTGTACAATCGGATCACGAACAACCCACCGGATTCCGAACGTCATCGTCCTGCGTCGTTGGGCTACTCCCACGCCCTATGAACCGCTCGTTTTAGATCGTCCACGTGTCTTAGCATGTTGGACATTCGCCCACGTGTGCGCGGGTGGGATCGGCATCTGTTGACAATGCTTTTTGAGGTCAACCGATTGTCGCCGTCTGTGGGAAACCATACCATAACCACGAGCAACCTTGTGGCAAAAGCTTACTGAAAGGACATTTGGGCAACCCCCCTTGAAAAAGGATTTGTTCTTGGAAAAGAACAGGAGGAAGCCCCATTGCTTAGCGAAATTTGAAATCTGACAAAATAAAATGAGCTCCAATGAAGATACTCTCCCCAGAAGGGTAAGAGAAAACACTAACGTACCTCATCAGCCCGCTGCCCCAGCAGCTCGGCAGAGACTCACCACCACCAAATAAGAGGTGGGATGCGTGCGACAGCACGATTATCAAGAGAGATGGCCGCTATGGCAGCCAATATGAGGGATATTGCTAGCCAAATTTTGGCTATGAGGGAGCTTATGGCCCAAATGCAGGGTCAGGGAGGCTTTCCCATTCCTCCATACGCCTCCCAAGGGCATTACCAGCAAGAGGATGAAGTCCAAAGTCATAGAGCTGCTACACCAGACTATGGCCGAGGTGGAAGCCCATTTGAAAGGGAAGTGACAGTTGATGTTTCCTCCAACTACGCTTCTGGCTAACCCACCGAGGTCCCAATGAGCCATGATAATTTTTCACCTCCTTATGAGCAAGATCCAAGACATAGGAGGGCGGGAAGTGTTTTTGACAGAATCAGCCCCGCCGAACCCAGGCTAAGGCAACAAGAAGCTCAACAGCCTTGGACAAGGCCGCCTCCTCCACCTACAATGCCCCAGTAGGTGGAAAGAAGGCAAGAAAATGCCCCCGTGTTGTTCCACCTAGAAATAGGCGGCAGAGGAGGGAGGAAGAGGCTAGGGATCTCCCCGGGACCTCTCACCAACAATCGAGGCATGAGGCTGATGAGTACGACTCTGATGAACGGCAGAGGTCCTGCGACTTAGACGATGACGATGAGAACCTACCATTCTCAAGGGAACTAAGGAATGCCCAGGTCCCGAGCCACTATGTTATGCCAAAAATACCAAAGTATGACGGAAGAGGCGACCCGGAGAAGCATCTGAATGCTTATAAAACTCACATGAGCCTAAGGGGCGCCACCCCAGCCGTGAAGTGCAGAGCCTTCCATTTAATGCTTAGTGGAGCAGTTAAGATTTGGTATAACAGATTGCCACCTGGGATCATTAGAAGCTGGTCCGAGTTCAAGACAACATTCTTGAAGAGGTTCGCCGTGAGCAAAGAAGGAGAAGCCCCCATCCAACGTCTTCAGGACATGAGGCAAGCACATGGGGAGTCCCTAAAAAGCTTCTTATCACACTTCACCGATGAGATGACGTATTGTGTACAAGTCAGCGACCGAGAGGCACTATCCACACTAAGGGGAGGTCTGAACAGAATACCTTATTCTGGAGAGATGTGCAGAATCAAGATCCCACCACCTATGACGCCCTACTCGAAATGATGAGAAGGGAGATCATCAATGACGAATTGATTGAACATAGGAACAGAGCAAATAGAGGCCTCCCGCCTCCTCAAAGACAGCGCAGTAGAGGCCCGACCTCCCACCTGATGGGCTACCAGATGAACCAGACCGGGAATGAGAACTCTGGTCAAGCACTTGCCACCACCACTTTGAATGCGATTCCCACCTTGGCATATGAAGATGTCAATCTAATTACTGACCCCTATCAGATGGGGGCTCAGGAGATGCCCCGTAGGGGGAGAGGCCGAGGTCGAGGCTCTGGACCTAGAAATAGGTCAAATCCGAACCCCCCAGGATACTGTGTACACCACAGGTTCTACGGGCATAACACAGTGGATTGTAGAGACTATGCACAACGTTCTCGGCAGGAACCTATTAGAGACAGACATGATTCGCCTCAGGCGAACAGACCCCTGTCCAGGCACGACAACCCACGTGGGCGTGAGGAGGCCGCTCCCCATCAAAGGGATGTATCCCCACGGCGAAGGGAGCATGATGCGGAGAGGCCCAAGGAAGGGCGTAGGCACCAAAGAAACCGGCAAGCTAGAGATGAAGCCCCTATCCACGAGGTGGACACCATACCATGGAGGTCCGTATGTTGGCGGTGAAACACGAAACGCCAAAAGAAACTATGCCCGGGAGGCTAAACACCCCCCTTTGACAAGCTACATTGTGGGTAGCAGCTCCCGAAAAAACCAGGTTCCACCTATTGTATTTACCCAGGAAGACGCAGAGGGAGTTCATTACCCCCATTGCGATGCACTTGTGGTGAGGGCTGTCATAGCCAGGAATGGGCTCAAACGAATGTTAGTTGACAACGGCAGCTCCGTCAATATTCTATTCGGATTCGCCTTTGATAAAATGATATTGGATCATCAGCTGACGCCCACCACCACTCCATTATATGGATTTACCGGAGATAGCATCACTCCGAGGGGAAAGACAACACTAGCAGTGGAGATGAGGGAATCCCCATGAACAACGATGAACTTCATGGAGTTCCTCATTGTCGACAGCCGGTCGGCCTACCATGGGGTGTTGGGCAGACCAGCCCTAAAGGAATTGGGAGCAGTCACCTCCATCCACCACCTATGCATGAAATTTCCAATAGAAAATGGGATGACAACGGTGAGAGGCGACCAAAGAGGCTCGAGAGAATGCTATCTAAGCTCCATCAAGAAGGTAGGGCCCCGGGACATCCATGTAATCATAGCTGACGTGGTCATGGCTAACGTCTTAGGTGATGCTCCAGCCGAACAAGAAGACGTTGATATGATCGACGCACCACCTAATTCGGAGGCACTGGTCATTGATGAAATTGACCCCCGAATCATGGAACACGAGCCTCAGGCATCCCCAGTAGAGGAACTTGAGAGCTTCTCGGTAGACCCCCAAGACCTATCAAAGGTGCTGAAGGTAGGCAAATGCCTATCCAACATTCTAAAGGAAAAGATTAAGGATTTCCTGAGTAAGAATCTTGATGCCTTTGCCTGGAAGCATGAGGACATGGTAGGCATAGACCCCAAGGTCAGCTGCCACCACCTGAAAACTGATCCTAAGGTTGCCCTACATAGACAAAAAAGGAGAGCCCTCAATCCTGAGAGGTATGAGGCCCTAAAGGAAGAAGTTCATAAGCTCATCTAAAATGGCTTCATCCGGGAGGCAACCTACCCTAGATGGGTCTCCAACCCGGTTTTGGTAAAGAAAAACAACGGCAAGTGGAGGGTGTGCATTGACTTCGCCAACCTCAATAGAGCTTGCCCGAAAGACAGCTTTCCAATCCCAAGGATTGACCAACTAGTGGACTCCACAGCTGGGCACGAGTTGTTAAGCTTCATGGACGCGTACTCCGGCTACAACCAAATCCCCATGCACCCGATCGATGAGGAGTACACCTCTTTCATTTCGAATCGAGGCCTCTATTGTTATAGAATGATGCTCTTCGGGTTGAAAAATGCCGGAGCAACCTACCAAAGACTTGTAAACAAGATGTTTGTGGACCTCATTGGCAAAACAATGGAGGTCTACGTGTACGACATGCTAGTAAAAAGTTTGGAGGCCGAAGACCACATAAAGCACCTCAACAACACTTTTCAAATCCTAAGAAGATACAGGATGAGGCTCAATCCCCCTCAAGTGCGCCTTTGGGGTAGCCTCCGGCAAGTTCTTGGGGTACATGGTCAACCAACGAGGAATTGAGGCCAATCCCGAGAAGATTGAAGCTCTTTGTAAGATGAGGTCCCCCCAAAAGCCAAAAGAGGTGCAAAGTCTTACTGGGCGAGTGGCCGTACTTAGCCACTTCGTGTCCAAAGCAATGGACAAATGTCTCCCCTTTTTCAAAGTACTAAAGACTGGGAAGAAATTCCAGTGGACCGAGGAATGTGAAGAGGCCTTCCAATGCTTGAAAAGGCACTTGAGGCAAGCCCCCCTCCTCTCCAAACCTAAGCCTGGTGATATCCTACAACTATATTTGGCCGTCTTCAATGAGGCCATCAGCTCGGTTCTGATACGGGAAGAAGGGTCTACCCAACTCCCCGTATACTACACAAATAAAGCGCTTCTATCACCGGAAACCCGTTACCCCGATATGGAGAAGCTCGCTTTGGCTTTGATCACAGCCTCTAGGAAATTGAGACCCTACTTCCAAG